TCTTTCCCTGCAATCCCGGCACACACACCGATGATCACGGCCGCGCGCGCGCCACACACAACGCGATAAACGTTCAGAGACGCACACCACGAGCAGCAGCCCCGTATACACCGCGGCGATCTGTTGTTGTTGTTGTTGATGTTGATGTTGGCTGGCGCTGGTGTTGCCGCTTCTCCAACTTTTCTCTCCGCCCGCCTGTTCAACCGCCTCTCCTTCTCCGCCCCCTCTTCCACCACCGCCACCTCTTCCTCCTTTTCTCGTCCGTCCGCGCGCCTCGCTGGCTGCGTTCGCTTAGGTGCACGTAACACACACGCGCGCGCGAGACTAGCCCGATTTCAAACGCGCACTAGATTCGCGGACGGCAAATCGATGGCCAGGCCTTTCCAACCGCGATACGCATCAAGAACCGTCGTTTTTCCTACTTGGTATGTCCCGCCGACTGTTTCGCGATATCCGTTTTCACCGTTCGACAACTCTCCGTATATCTCGTTCGCGTCCGTGTCTCTATGCTACTCCGAGTTCCACTTGCCCTTCAGCTGACACGCCAGTTTACTTTTCCCCTGTTCCATACGTTTCTGTCTCCCCCTTATGCTCAATGGCGTTTCACTTTACTCCGTAGCGTTAGTCTCCTTTCCCTCTCTTTCTCTTTCTGCCTGACTCCGTCGGTTCTCTTCTTTCTTCACCTTCGTATCACAACATTCACTAGGATCACACCAGAGCACGTGAAAAAAGCAAATCGACGGCCGGTAGGGTAGCGCGAGGCAAGAGAATACGACGCACCGCTGCTCCACACTTCCTTACACGGAGTCGCGTGCGAGCGAACCAAGAGCGTGTTTCGCGAATGCGCGACAGAGACAGAGATAGAGACAGAAGACAGCGCGCGCGAGCGAGTGAGCGAGCAAGTAAGCGCGAACGGTACAATTGGAAAGAAGCACACTATAGTACAGTCACTAGGCGAGTCGAAAGGGTCGAGATTACGCGTGTCGCCGGTAATTTATCGCGGACGCGAGCGACCGAGCAAGCGAGCGAACCAACTAACGAATGCGAAAGAACCTGACCTCGATCAGCGGCCGGTTCGAGTTGTGCGCGCTCGACAAACTATTATTTTTGGTCAGGAAACGAGTATCGCGTAGCGTGTACAGAGCGTGCATGTGCATGCGACCACTTTACGTGCCGGCTACTTGTTTTGTGCAGCGACCTTGAACGCGTAGATCTTACCGAGAGCCGTGCACCAAGTGGTTGAGAGAATGGATCTAGATATTGCGATATTTCGAACGCGTACGAACCGAGTATATTTCGTGGTTAGCGAAACGCAGTTCGAACGTTCCGTTGCGCGAGGCGAAAAGAACTAGTCCGAAAAGTGAGCTACGAAATTTCGATTTTTTCAAAACGTAACGGTCGGTAGGTCCGAATTTATTGTCCTTTTTCTCGATACACGCACGTAACTCGGTCAACTTCTCGCGAGGTCAACGATTCCCATCAAACTCACGCAATACGCAGTTTGCGGTAGCAGACGGGCACACACGCAAAGCGATGTAGAGTGGTGTGCCAATAAAACCGCAATTTACTCGTCAGAGAAAACGTACGTTGTCACGCACAAAACACACGGCAAATCTTCTAGAAACTCTCATCATACGCGCCCGATCACGGTAATGCTCGTACTGGTTTTCCGTTCACGATGAGCACACAGAAAGGCGCTCCCTTGATTCCGTTCTCGACTGGATTGCAAGCGACTTTTAGTACACATGCACGTTACACCGCACAAACATGCCTATGCACACGCGCGTAATGCGAGTGAAAATACGTGTATACGTGATTGGTAATGAATGTGGTTCCCATACAGAAACAACGGCAACACGGTGATGCATACACACGTTCAGGGTATGTAGAGAAATGTTGTGCGAATACAGCGCGAGGAGAAGTGATACGCAATACACGGAGCAACCTTAAGGATCACGCGAGTGTATACCGCGTATCTGACAATACATTAACGCTCATTTCTGACAACGGTCTAACGTGAATGTGGTACCTCTCCGCTGTATACATGCACCAGTAAACGCGTGCGAATGTATGACGTCGAGGATCGAGTGTATTTCGACCCTATCGTCCACCTAGTGACATTTGGCACGCCGAATACGTTCGCTCACACACGAAAGTAGGCGCAGCTGAGCGACGACGTAAAGAAAGACGGTCACTGTGGATCGGCACTGCCTAACACTACTGCTGCACAGGTTTTCGCGGGTACAAAGTGGGGGGGCTAGTCAGGACAAAGAAAAGGAGGCTCGAACTGACCGACGACGACGAGCCCACGAGCCCCCGACGACGACGACGACTACGAGAAGCCGACGAGCGAGCGACAGCCTGATACCTCCGCACTTCGCGAGCACTCTCACGCATTTATCGATGTCAAACGCTCTGCACCGTAGAAGCACCAGGCGTCGTTTCTTACGGTGCCGCTGATTGGCCGAGCGGTGCGCGAGTGCACTACCTCGACCAATCAACGTTGACAATACGGCGCTGCCGTATGAGCCGCCACCAGCACCGGTGGTGTCACGTGAATCTCATGCCCGAAAACAAAACAAACAGCTGGCTGTATTCCTTGCCTCGCTCTCTTGCACGCTATCGTGCGTGTGCTTTTGATGCACGATATTCCTGGAGTAGGTAGCCCCTTTTCCATGTATAATGTACTAAAATCGAGAAACTACATATGCAAAAATAACGTATTAATCATACACATTCTTACTGATTATTTCGAGAATTTATTTTAAATAATATGATCGATTTTTAAATCATTCGAAATATATTTATCCCTTTTCTTCTAATTTATTCGATTCTTTCTGTAGAAAAAATAATTTATACGTTATTATACGAATTAAATTGAATATAACGGCTATGAAATATTACTTAATACTTTCTTACGTTAAAGTATTTAAGAAAAGTGCATTTGAAAATTCATATAATCGCGCCATCTTTTCCATCCTATTTACCGTCACTTATACTTTTTCAAATTGGTACTTCTGAGTCTCTTGAGAACTACGTATACAGTGTGCGGTATCGTGTTTGAATACAAAGGATCTATGATGCGGTTCGATAAAGTTTAATAATTTCGTTTATTATGTTAGTGATAAATATGTGTCGAGGAAGAATGGAATACCACAATCCTCAAGATTCCGTGATTGTCATCAAAGATTGTACGCGAAGATGATAACCAATTTGTAAGTCACCGAAAGTTTATAATTTTTTCGTAGAAATTGTTTTTGATTTTAAAGATATGGGATGATATTTGAGAGAATGGAAACACATATTTACGGGTATATACATTCTCATTATTTTTATCGTTTTATGCATTGTTATTTACGAATGTAATTACTACATTCATTTGTTACGTCCGTGACAGTAAAGTTTGTATTTGCAATGATATATTTACACGTGATGTATTCAAAATTCATATATTTATACACAAATATACTATTTAATGTTATTGATTCAACAATTAGTAGGAGATTTTACTGAAATTATAAATTTTAAATACATATACATGCTTAGGTAATAGAATAAAAATGGCAGAAAAATCAATTTTTATTATTTTCTTTAATACATAAAGACTTGGCTCATTAAATTATTAACTGCATAAAAATATATATTAGTTGTACCATATGAAAATGGTAAATCTATACAAATTTTTCTGTCAGGATAATTATTGTTCAAAATTCTAATGTACCTTCATTTTAATATAATATTTAGAGAATTAAAACAAATTTCAATTAAGCAACTAATGTTATTATGGAAAGTAATATTAGGTTTCACATTCAAGTTTTAAAATGTAAATTAAAATATCACCAAATATCATTTTTGCTTGGTAGCTAAAATTCATTTTTATTTATTTCTCTATTAAATGTACAATTCTTTTTATTTTATGTCTTTTTTACACCGATTTATTATACATCATTTTTAATATTAAGTACAACAAAGTTTTGCATGATTAATTACATTCGTGATACAGGAAGAATATCAAGTAAACCAAGTGCATTTTGAAGCACAATTTGTAATGCATGTAGCATGTATAATCTCACAGACATTGTTGGAATTAGATGATCATATACCTCCTGTAATAGAACAATTATATTTAAGTTACAAATTATTAATCACATAATAAGATTCGTTAGTTAAACATGAATAATGATTAGACATAAAACTTACAGTTAAAATTCTGATTCTGCGATAGTAGATACTAAATTTTTGACATAATTTTGCTAAAAATATGCAAATAACTTGTGGATTAATTTGAAAGACAGAATCATGTTTTAAACAATCTTTTATCATTTGTTGATATCCAATAACGAAATTGTATATCAGTTCCCATTCTTCCTAAAAATTATATAATTATTGAATTTTCTTTTTTTTGTTAATTAGATATGATGATAGATAATTTAGTGCCTTTTAAATAAAATACCTCTTGATTTAATAGAGAAAAATCTATGTCATTGATATGTGGTAAATTAGGATATTCCCCTTTTAATCTTTTATCATTATACTTTTCAATAATAGCTGTTATTCTTGCTGTATTATATAATATAAAAGGAGCACCTAAAAACTAATAATGATAGAATTTGTTTTCTCAAAGATTCTAGAAAATTCATGCAAAATTTTGTATTACAAGCACCTTTTGTGTTTGTAGTATTTTTATCAGTTGCAAAATTGCATCCGATAAAAACAGAACGAGTTGGTTTTACAGATAATAACTCAAACATAGCTGTGGCTTTTGCAATATTTTCAAGGAAACAATCTTGTGCTTTTACATTACATTTTTCTGTCTCAAAATACTTATGTTCATTTAATGTTTTTAATTCTTTTATTTTGTTACTGATATATTCTTGCCATGTTAATTTTGTCTCTTTACAATTTGTTTCTGTGTTTTTCACAACCCCACATATACATCGCTCATAATTTTCTTCCACACTTCCTTGTGACTTAGAGGTAAATACGAATTTGTAATCAGGGTACTCATTTGATACTGAATATCCATGTAAGTTTAAAATCTTTTCAGTGACACATTGTATTAAGTATAATCTTGTAGTTGTGAGTTCTGATTCTTTATCTTGTAATGATTTTAAGCTAAACACTTTTTTAAGTGAAAAAGTTTTCCCAAAGTCATGTTTAAATGTTATAGCTGCCTTTATGGAGTTTTCTATAAGAGGAGTACGTTGTAAAAATAAGAATATCCTTTCTTTTTCCAAGAAACATTTTTCTAGCTTTATCGACCAACTGCTACTAGATGCTATTAGCAATTGTAAAACCTGCAAAAGTCAATATCTGTTACTCTTAGAATTAGGTTATGTCTGTTCCTTTTATAATGGTATTTTGTGTTATATTTTACCTGATTTGCAGTATCTGCATCAGTATTGTTATTTGTCTGACCATCTCGAATATGTAGACAATGTTGCAAAATTGTGGTACACTTTTCATCACATTTATCTGTACCTTTCAGCACACTTTTCCATACTTTAAGGCTAGGTAAAAAATATAATTCACCATTTATTGCTAAATTTTCATTGTTTACCTTGACAATTGAAGAATTTTTACAAACATTACCACTTAAATATGATGTAATATTATTTATGAGTAATTGTATGCAGATAGATGGTGTGTTTTCCATTTGTATCTCCATATGTTACTTACTCTAACATGAAGTAGCTTTAATAACTTCTTCCATCATGAAGTAATCTTAAACATAGCATTATCATTACTCATGAAACAGATATTTTATTATTCTTATCATGAAAAATATCTGCAAACTATATAGTATGTTTTAATTTGAACACCTTTCACAATTGTCACATATAATTAGAAAATAACTACAGGTTTGTGAAATTAGAAATAGCATTAAGGGGTTTAAGAGTAAAGAACTCCAAGAGGTTCAACAAAATAATTAAAACAACCACAATTCTGAGTAATTTTTATTTAGAATCACAAGTCAAATTGTGCAAATAAGTGATTGTAAATATTAACATTAATATAATATTTGCTATACTTATAGGTATACGTGTATCTTACAAAGTCATCACAAAAAACAATTTTCTATTTAAGCGTATCTAGACTGACGATCGATTGTTAAGTAAATTTACTCGGCCATAGTACTGTAATTAAATTCTAGAATTTACATCGTTCTCTTTGATATCGAGTATCACATAGAATGGTGGTACTTCACGTATGCTATCGCAGCCAGCTCCTTGCAGAACTCCTCCGTTACGATCACGCTTTCAAATAGGATATTCTCCTTCTCCCTGAAAATAAGAACGATGCATTTAACATTTCCATATTTCCCAACGATAAGCGACAGTGTGTAATCCATCACTGGGCCTAGACTTACCCTTCGTGAGAACAATCTTCTAGCAACCGTTCTCTCGTCTCCTTCAGCATCTGCTTGTGGTCTGGTGTCTTTGGTACTTCGTTCACCAGCTGCTTGACGACTTTTTGCAAGCAGGTGAACAAGTTCTTTGTGCCGGGTGCCAGCGGCAGCAGCGGATTCAGTAAAAATTCATGCAGGTACGGATGAGGTAAAAGCGCCAGCCTCGAGATCACCACTGTCAGTTGCAGATTGACCTCGTACTTTTGCCTTGGAATACTCGCCACTTTCTCAAAAAGCATCGTCATAAACGGCCCCATGTAAAATCTTACAGAGCAGTGATCCGCTTCCGGTCTGGAATCGGAACTCGCGGAATCATCCATGGTTACTGCCTCCAGTGGCCAGGCCATCAACGAGCAGTCTGTCAACACAGTAGAATACTGCCTTTCCAAGTCAGCCATGTATCGCTCATAATTGTTTACGTCCGTGTCTGTTTGTAGATAACGAGGAATCAGGGACAGGAAACTGAAACGGAGGTTGACATTAAGCTATAAACTATGGGGTATACTGTTTCATATGCGTGTTTAAATATTATTATAGGGATAGAGGTGTACGAGTATACATTAAATTAAATGGAAGAAATTTGGTCAATCGAGCCAAGTTCATTGACTCATTCAGATGATTTCTGTTGGCTAGATCTTTTCCTACTACCCCTGCTAGGTATTATAGACGTGTGATTCGTTCCTGATATGATAATGAATGTCATAAAACCATTTTTTCGACGGAAGATTTTCGTTTGTTTTTGTGATTGTGAGATGTCTTGCAAGGTCCTTACCAATTTACAATTCTGTGAATATTACTAGGTGCTAATGTTCGACTATGGCTTTGCTCGTAAGAGAGGTCTAGCGAACCCTTCTTCTCCCTCTCTCTTTCGTCCTCCTCGTCGCTCCAAGATGCAATTGCGCTATCGGCTGCGGTGTTATCGTAATAGCCTCGTGTCGATAAGTACACTAATACTAGGCAATGTAATACGTGCTCGTTTCTTTTCTCTATCATTTCCTCAAAGAGTTTCAACGTTTCCAGCGTCAAGTCGTCACTGTCCGTGAAACAATTGTCTATCAGCCTGTGTAGCACAGGTGATGTCCACACGTTTGGTATCTCTGGACCTCTGTCATGACCCACGAGCCAGTAACTTATTTCTTGAAAAGAAAAAGCAATTAGTATTATCCTCATTTTTAAGGAATAATCAAATTACAAATACACTTGAAATCTTTTCTAATCTACCAATTCTTGAGGAAGAAAAAAATTCCATTGTTAGCGGTTTAATTATCAAAAATTCCAAGCGATAAGACACTGCTAATTGCTGTACCTGTACATAAGGCGGTGGACGTTAATTCTTTCATACATTTAGTAACCAACGCCGTGATAAGAACAACGTGATGTTCAGCCAAAGCCGGTGTCACAATCTTATCCAAGAAATTTACTTTGACACTTTTAGCTAACGTATCTGCCACGTCTGGGTGAGCTTCTCTTATCAGCTGATTGCAATAATCGAACCACATGAAAAATGCAGCGACCTGTCTACAGCCGGAGAATTTCTTCTCCTTTCTCCACACTGGAGAGTCTAGACCCCACGTTACGTCCACGGCGTCGATTTCTGTCGGGTCGACGTGAGCTGGAATGGCGTTGAACAGGTTCTCCAGTCTGCTTGCTATCAAGATCGTTAAGTCGCTGTTTGCTATCATCTGAGCGAACGATGGGTCCTCTAGAGAGGCGAGAACCATTATACCCTCGCAGGCTCTTATCCTCACGGTATTATCCTGGCAAATAACAACGAATAAACATGATACATTCGGTACACTTCTCTGCAATTGGATATTTAATGATTAACTTCAAAAGCCATTGCTTACCGCGGTGTTTATGTAACTCAGCAGAGCATCTAGCAAAAGGCATTTCGATTTCTGCGGCGTTCTAGGTCTCAGTAGCCGCTGATCCTCGTCTACGTAGCCAGAGTCATTATACGCACTCCCATATTCAACGTCCAATCGCAGATCCTGAAGGTTCTGCAGGTGCGTGTCTATCTCGTTCATCAGACCTATATCCTCTTCCTTCTGCGAGACGTCGCAGTCCTGAGAGTCAGGAGATTGTGCCGGGTCGCAGGAACTCTCGTCGCAGATCGCTTTCTGAATTACTGGACTAGAAGATTGCGAAGTGTTCTCAACTTCCCTGGAAGATATCGATCCGTTCGATTGACTAGATGATCCCCTGGACGTTTTGGCCTTGCTTGACGGTCTGTTAGACCCAACAGATCGTCTCCTGTCATTCTCAGAGCTAAACAGATTAGGATTTATCAACGTGACCGCCTGAGTGTCCAGTGGCTCAAACAGGGGATTAAAGTTGTTCCTTTTTCTGGCTGGTATATAGGTAACTTTCTCCACTTCCATCCTTTCAGAATTATTCCTTACAAAGCTACTCTTCCTCTGAATATTCGGTGCATCGTTTATCATGTTGGTCACGTGAGGATACTTGCAAACTAGAAAGCAAAGCGTCAGAAGGAACTGGACCTCCTCAGCCTCCATAGGTGAAGGCGGGTTTCCATTGCAGAGTACAATTAATCTCTGCACAGGGCTGTAAATCGACGTATGATGCAACAAAGGATACTTGGACCTGCCTAGCAATTTCCTCAGGAACGACAGGCACACTGTCCTCATCCCGGGTGGAGTTTCTGCACTGGCCAGTGTAGCCAACAGGTCCAACAGTTTGTGCTGTAATAGGTACTCGAGACATGGCCCTGGTTCATTTTCGTTCTTCTCCTCTTCGAGCAGGATCTCCAGTAACCTGTCCAAATGTCGTGGGATCCCTGTGGTTTGTATAGGCACCTTGCTATCCGTCAGATGGTTCACATAAAAGTTCATAAGCTGTTTCCAGTGGTATGTGAAGTCTTGCAGCGGTGTGGCAGGCGGTGCTATCTGCAAAGGATAAAAATACATGAGTATCAGAGATCAGCATAACTGTAGACGATAATTAAAACGGCGACCAGGGATCATATTACGTCGTCCGGGTCTCTAAGAAAAAATAAATAGGATGCAAAACACGGCAAGCTATTGAACATGCACATGTTAATGAGACGCGGTCGGACGAATGCGAGTGTAACTTGGAATAATTATATAAGCTACTAAATATAACGTACGTGTACAGACGATTAGACAACGTCCCGATACGCGTTCCGATCGAATCGAGCAAGTTTCGCCTGGCCGCCGTTAGCCGGCTGAAAACCGTTACGCCATTGCTTGTTTATTTTTTGATTGGCGCGAAACGAGTGGCCGTTCAAATTGATCGTGCGCACACGGGGGAACGGGAAGGAAAAATTCGCAGCGACAGACAGTAGCGTATCGACCACGTTGGCCGAAGGCACGGCACCCGAATCGATATACGTAGAACGTAAATAAATACAGTGGCACGTGTGACAGTGTGCGACGCTCGAACGACGAAAACCCGTCGGTAAACGACACGAAATATATACGCTGCCGCGTCACGATCGATGAACACTGCCTTGATACGCCTTTCGCACTGTTTACTATACTCTGCAAGCAAAGGAAAAAATATAAACGGAAGTGTGCGTGTATCCTGGTCGGACAGGATGCACGGTACGCAGTCGCGTGAACGAGAACACAGTACCGACGACGAAACGACGAAACATATCGAGGTTATAACTCACCACGTCAATGGCATTCTTCAGCGCGATTTGAATGCCACTAATCATCTTAACGCACCGTCCGATTTTCGTCCGCAGTTATTTCTCGCTATACACACGCCTCGCCTTCGTTTTTCGCATGATCCTCGCTCGTTTCTGCATAGTTCCTCATTATCCGCACCCGTGTCACCGTGCAGTTGTTCACTGTCGCTGCGACAACGAAACTTTGCACTTTTGACGTGTGGTGTTTCGGCTCGCCGGCCACTAGATGGCGCCACCGTTACGTCTGATGTTACGACGCAGAGCGCCATGTGTAGAACGAGAGATAGAAAGGAATCGATGTATTTTCACTAGTCGAAGCGTAGGTTTATCGCAGATGTGATTTTTGGATAATCAAAGGGGAATAATTTAACGACGGATGCCTAGAAGTAACGAAACGAAGAGTGTCTGAAAATATATGTTATTCGTAGCCCTCTAGCGGTGTGTACAGAAAGTTTGGTTGCAATTTTACGTGCATTTCGATTAGACTCGTACAAGGTTATTAAAGGCAAAACAAAGTTACAGCTTTAAACCGTATCGAGTGTTGAGTCATTGGATTCGATTCGGAATAGAGAGAACGAATAAAAATTCTCGTTTGACCACATGGAATACACAGAATACTTTACAGAAGATACAGAATATTTTATTACCATCGTCTTACATCCGCTTATTTATACGAATTTATATTAAAGTGGCAAACAATCGGAGTCGAACGTACAAAATATTTGAAAAAGTCCTGGCTCTATACCCGGTATTTTTCCTATTACGAGCCGCTCGTACTTTCGATTGATCTAATATCAATGATCGTTGATAAGATTGCAGATACTTGCCTAAACATGCTAATAAGACGTCGAACTATCGAGAACATTTTATTATGTTATACAAATTTTCCTACAGCCTTCGCGCTAATTCCCCTTTATCTCTGTCCTCGGTTCTTTTTCTTCCATTTTCTTTTTCTTTATCGATGTAAATACTTTTTTAATAACCACCTTATCTTTATCGCACCCTTCCGTTTGCAAATGACACTTCCTGTACTAGAGTCTACCTGCTGCTTCCAGAAACTTCGACTTTCGTCCACGGCGCCAAGATCGATCGCACTATAGCACTATTGATTTTACCTAGTTAACTGTTAACCCGTCCATCGTTAACCAAAATATTTTCGAATATTTTTACGTTCAGGTTGGCGTGTCCAGGTACTTTTGTACACGTCCGAACACGGCATGTAGTAGTGGCACGTCGATCGTGAGTAAAGCACAGGATTTACGATCACTTTTATTTTCCACTTTCATAGTGTACACATCTCGACAACATCGACCAATTCGTGAGAGTATAAAACGATCGCGACGCTCCGAAAACGGTTCAGGCTCCGCCATTTTGATCGGTTCGCCATCTTCGACGATCCTGCCGCCACCAAACCGATCTATCTCTTCGGATCGATCGATTTATACAGTTAGATGAAGCCTACCAAACATCTCAGACGTTTGATTTGACAGATCTCATCTCAATTCCTCTTACGCAAACTGGGGTATACTAATTCGACGCTTGACCGAGAACCTAAGCGTCGTAGGAAGTCGAGTGTATGGGTATTGCATTATCTAATTTTCTACCTGCTTTTGACAAGTTACTCTTTCTGTCTGGGCTCAATGTTGAGGAGTCCTCGACGACTATAGTTGCGATTCCTCGTGATTAAATTTCATTGGAATATTCTGCGAGAGCAAACTCTCTGATTAGATTCGACACTGACGAGTCCTCAAAGACTGTACCTGCGATTCCTCGCGACCAAATTGCAGTATTTTATTGGAATATTTTGCGAGAGTAAACTCTTTCTGTCTAGACCCAATGCTGACGAGTCTTTAACGATTATAGTTGCGATTTCTCGCGACCAAATTTCATTATTTCGTTGGAATATTGTGCAAGAGCATACTCTCTCTCTGTCTAGACCCAATGTTCAATTCTCGAAGACTATACCTGCGATTCCTCGCGTCGAAACTTCATTCGAATATTCTTCGATAGCAAACTAGGGAATACTGTTGTAGAGATGTAGGTCGTTGGGAGCTTTATCAGGGGAGTGATAAAGATACGAGATACGTGGAGAACAATAGCTGCAGTATCACCTGATCTGCAGTATCAACTGGTCTGCGATGACTTGGAATAGAAGAAGTATATCGAGTATATACCGATATACAGAGCTGACCAATTCGTCTACACGAAGCAAAGTCGAAATGAACTTCTCAGATAGTTAAATTTAATCCTCTGTCAATCCTCTATGCACAAGAACAATAAACGTCGTTAAACTGGTTACGGTACTCGCACAATGTCTAACATGGCCGGTGTCTTGAATAATGAATTATAATATAGAACACATAAATAGAAACGCTAGTGACTGTGCATCGTAGAATCCTATATTACCCAGGGTCAAGTATGCATGTGGTTCGTGGCGAAAGGGTGGACAGTTGTCGGGTACATTGATTGACAACCTATTCCTGTCCGCTGTTATAGTAACCTCGGAGGCGTTAATATTTCGTATTTTTATTATCACCTTGCGTGCTTCCAACGAGTCACGTTTACACGCGTATTTCCCTAACGATACAACAGAAATTTTGGCCGTAGGAACCACACACCCGATACATCGATCTAAGATTGCACACTCATCATGCGTCTCACCGATCGAACTATAAAGTCGTTGAAGATATGTAAATCCGCACATCGAGGGTCCGCGCGTTCCTCAGCACTGGGCCCCGCAGATTCCGCACACGCGTGTCGACATCCTACGCTAAATCGAACGTCACGCTCACGTGTCGCCGCGTGATCGGCGCTAACTATACCGCGGCTAGGCTACTCACCACCTTCAGCCTCCACAGACGACGCAGCATCGGTGACAAACGATTCGGCTCGGTTCGAAGGAACGTGACGGGCTGAATTCTCGGTGTTGAAACGATGATCGCCGAAGGTACTTCGCCTTCTCTCTCTCCCCCCCTCTCTCTCTCTCTCGCTCGCTCTCCGCCGATCTATCGATCTCTATCGATCCGCGCCGCGAGGTCTTATCGCAGCGACGATGAGCGTCTAACGATGATCAGTAGACGTTCAGAAACGGCAGTCTCTCTCGCGTCGACACTCGGCTACGTTCCTTCTAACCCTGGTCAGACTCTAGACCGACCCTTTTCCCGCTCCCGTGTTTCGTAACCGGGGAACGCGAGTCGAATGACGATCGAGTCTAGATCCTCATCGAGTTTTCGTGTCGCGTACGAGGCGGGTAGGAGGAAACGCTTTGGAGTATAGATAGACGGTGGGGCCATGTTGCACCGAGATCTCCAGGATCGGTTTGTACATATACTCCTTCGAGACAGATTCGTCGTTTCGAATCCGTTTGTTATAAAATTGTACGAAATTTTTGCCCGTAGCTATTGGGGCAGACGAAACCACGAGTACCGTGTATTCGAGGAAAGAAGGCACAGTGGGCTTACTTCCTCGCGACTAACTCCGCGGACACGCCCACGATCACAAGCAGTGACCGCTATTGGCCGAAAACGGTGACGAAGGTCATCGGTCACTGTGTTCGACCAATAGCAGTCACTGCTTGTGATCGTGGGCGTGTCCACGGAGTTATCCACCCACGAGGAAGTAAACCCACTGTGCCTTCTTTTCTCGAATGCACAGTAGCGTAGAGATAGAATCTTGTATCTCCTAAATGGGTTTGCATATACTCTATTGAGAAAGGAGTCAGTGAAAAATTGTTGGACATTGTGTCGTTTCGGGTCAGGGAATCGGTTTGTTCTAAAATTGTAAGAAATTTTTGTCCATGGCAATTGGGCCAGGCGAAACGACGAGTACTGGAAAGGTAGAATCTCAGATCTGCAGGATCGGTTGGTGCATATTGCATGGAGAAAGGAATCTGTGAGAGATTTTTGCACATCGAGTCGTTCCGGATGAGGGAAGCCGTTTGTTGGAAAATTGCAAGAAATTTTTGGTCGTGACAATTGGGGCAGGCGAAACGACGAGTACTGGAGAGATAGAATCTTAAGTGTCTTATTTTTATTACAACTTCGCGACAACAGGCTAGCAATTTCCTCTCGAAACACCTGGTATACTATACAGCTCCATCGTTCTTTGAACTCCAAAGAAATATTCGCCTCTCGACACGAGAGAGTGGCGGGGAACACGGTATTGAGAGTCACGACTGGAACTCGTGAGCGTGCGTTCTTGCACATGTGCATCCATTTCCTTTTCTCTCCTTCTTTTTCTAAATTCTCTTTCTCCCTTTTTGCCCCTTGCGCGTTTCAAGACAATTCCAGTCGCGACGTCGATGCGTGCGTCTTCGAGGGACCGTTCTCGAGACTATGCCGGAGGATCGGCGTTATCGTCGGGACAATAAAGAGGAACGTCCAAAGAACACGAACCCGTTGAGCGCGACCTATAAATCTAAATATTCAAACCGCCTAATCCCATAAAACGCTACTACTTCTTTTTCTAATAGACTGTCGCAAAACACACTTCCGCTAATGTCTGCTCGCGTTATCTCTTCGTCTTTTTAACGTTTCGCCTGGATATATATATATAATCTGCTTCGCTGGCTCTCGCTCACACGGATCCCTTTGCTCAGTCTGCGCGACCGTCGTCCAATCACGCTCTCTAAACGTTACAATAAGATTAATGTAGGACAAAACGACGATACAAATAACTTATAAATCGCTCAGTGCGAACTAACTTTCATTCTCATCCCTGAAGATTCTGTAGCAGTGTGCGAAACAGAAGAGACCTGGCTCGCCTGATCACCGGACCGGTTGCATCTTCTGCCCGTTCGAGGAACACCGTGATCGATTCTATCGATATATCGAGTCTATCGATGTTTCGCGGTATAGAACATACTCTGCATTAGGTGCACACGAGAACTGCCATAAATTAGTAGTCACGCTTTGTAAAATACTATTCCTCCCTAGCATCCAGCCAGGCGCACCTGTGCGTACGTGTCGAGCTGCACTTATGGCAGTAATGAGACCTCTGTTGCATTTTACTAATTTATTTATTCGTTCACTCGTGTGCAGCTTCGTTTCACGCGAGAACGTTTCACGGCTTTATGAATTTTTCGCTATCTCAAAGACCCTCGCTTCCAAGTCTTCGCGTGGCTAGGCTACCTTTTATGCTCTATGTACATACAAGTGCGTATGCAGCTCTCTTTCTCTCTCTCTCTCTCTCTCTCGTTCTCGCTCTCGCTCTCGCTCTCACACTCATCCTCCAGTTTACATTAAAGTTTACCTACGTCCGCAGATACACATTCACACCTCGGTCATACATTGAAATTTGAACCTGGCAGACAGAGACTCACTCGTTCTTCCATTCGCTTCTACATTTCTCTCGCATCTTTGATTCAATTTTAATAGCTAGTTTACTTCCACTTTCTCCTCGGCACACACGCGTGACTTCATGCATTTCTATGTGTACGTGTATGTTAATGGTGTGTCACATTTGTATCGTTACTGCCTAGAACTTATTTTAACCCTTTGCGCTCGAGAGGACGACTCGCGGTCGTCATTGTCTTTCATGCGACAATTTCAATGGCGAATGAAGATGACAATTCTTGCTTATGTTCATTTCGTACATCCTCCAGGTGTTAACAACGATATCGGCCTAGGAATCAGCTGCTTATGCTGTCCCAGGATGTGTAACACAGAGGTAAAACGTTTCATCTATTATCTAGGAGTGACATCAGTTTTGAAAAATCACAAACCGGTTATGGAGATAGTGTTAAACATTGTATCAGGTGGTATCACACGAATCTTTGGTAATTTAAGATGGAAACCTCGTAGGACCATCCGCTGAGTTTTAAGTACGTTTAAGTATCGAATGCTCGACGAGCAGTCTTGATAAATATTAAATTAAACGGAAAGCTTCGTGTGATTTTAACAAAAATGGATTGTAATACTTGCTATCACCCAGACAAACCTGGTGGAGGACACGAAACAACATACTATTGCGATACTCGAGTGTTTTGTAAAATAATATACGAAGAAAAATACAGAACTTAGTATTAAAAATTTATTTTTCGAGGTGTAGATATAGATGAAATATTAAAATATAATATCTCTGTACGTCGAACGCAAAGGGTTAAGCTAACAGTAAGCTGAAGAGACGCGGCACAGCCGTTGTCTTCACCGGTGTCCAGCAGCCACTGCAGCGACTAGCGCTGCTCCACGACCGCTGCCATCTTTTGAGAGCATCAAGTCGAACTGCAAATTCAAGTATCATATCATAAATTATTCAATCAATATAGTCAATATAGTTAATATAGTTATAAGTAATATTACTTACAGAAAATATAGTAATATATAGTAATATTATAGTAATATATTAATGTACACTAATATATATATATAAATATAGTAATATATTCTCTATAAATTATAGATAAATATAGTAATAAGTTCATCTTGTGTTCTGTGTAATTGGTCTATGTAACTAGTAGACAGTTTAATTAGATATTTAAGAGAGTAAAATATTTGTATTTTTTTCAAAATTTCAATCATAATTAAATTTAAGATCTGTGAATATTATTTTTCAAAATTTCAATAATAGTTTAATTCAAGATCTCAGAATATTATTTATTCTAGATATTAATAATATCTCTGAATATTATTTAAAATATCTAGCAAAGATATTTGGATATTTCCTTTAAAAAATTCAACAATTTTGGTAACAGAGTGGAACTAAAGTGCATTTAACTTGGTATTCACAGTGAAAAGTCTGGTAATTTATATACGTATTTGTAATTACAATTATTAAGTTACTTTTATATATTGTTATTCTTTCAAGGCTCGAGATCGTGGTTTCCCTATGAGACAGGAATAAATTCGAGGAAAACCGGAGATCTCTCGAGATCAATTAACGAAAACATATCATCGAGGAACGTGACTCACACGACATATTTCTTTCCTCATTTTATTCGACCTTGCTCCAGATAAAATTTATATTGTTCGAAGAAACATAACACTCTTTTCTTTTACATATCCATAAATTAAACTCGCACTATCGTGTCACAAAATGAGAGAGAAGAAAAGAAAAAGAAAAAGAGAAATATGAAATATAAAATATGAATAATAATCGTAATAACAAGACAAACCTAATTTATATTTGAATTCTAGTTTCACCCTTTGCACTCAACCATGTTTTCATTATAGAGAAATAGTAATTCAAAGACTTTCTGCCATAAAGTCCTATTTTTATTAAAAGATAAATTAAAGTGTAGAATTATTTTACTTCAGCATTCTATGCATCATTGGGTAATTTTAAAATTGATACATTAATTAACACAGATCTTTAAAATCCCATTAAATGGCGACTGAGAGTCATCTCTGGAGTGCAAAGGGTTAACACTAAACCTGCAGAGATTAAATGATGGTTTCTAAATTTTTAATCAAAGATTTCCCATTCAACATTGTCACTTTGATCACACGTCTTTGTGATTTTCCTTTTAATACAGGTATAACCAATTTTTAAATGTTCTTAAATTTGCTTGGTAAGTTGTCATGGTAGCTCTAGTGTCAATAAGACGATGCTTATGTAACGCAGCCTAGTGTTAAATAAATTAAAGGATTTAATTTATTTAACTGGTTAAATGAAAGATTTCGATATGCTTGGATACATCCTTCAAGAGCACCAGAGGCTAGCTTCATGCAGCAGAGAAGAAACAAAGAAGTTTCTCTCACCTTACGGCTCTGTAATTGGCTAATCTTCTCGGCCATGAGATCGTGAAAGTAGGGATGGTATCTGTAGACCGAACCGTCAATTCCTATTGTGACGTTGTCTTCGCCTATCCGATTCAGCAACGTAGCGATTCCAGCGCTAGCCAAGTGGGCTGCTCTCTTCGATACGACCGAGCAAACGTACCTGACGTTCTCGCAATCCTGATCACTCACGTTTCGTAACCCTATTTCCGCCAGCACTTCACGGCAATTCGTGTATTTTCCTTTAGCATCGCTGAAACCAGAGAAAAACAACGTTAATGCGGAGATTATGGCGAGGAGTCATCTAAAGTCATCTATGATCAGCCTCGAGTGTATTATTACATAGGAGATGATTATGAGTAACGACTGGGATCATGTTGGAGCGATTATATAACGATTTTCTCTCATCGCTGGAATTGAGGAAAGTTTCATAAGCCAGAGATACTCTGTGAGTGAACTGGTGGAACACAGATGAGCTGGGCATGAGCTGAAGCCTGGAGAAACTTGTGAAATATGCTCACTGATGCAGCTGATGTTCAGGTATTCAAAATTAACTTGGCTTAAGAGAGAATTGATAGTAATTGAGAGGAATGAAAATTATTCAGAATGACTTTTAGAAATAGAAAGAAACACAGAAGCCATGCATTCTTTGAATTCAGGTTTGGTGTGATAATAAATTCTACTCAACTATGGATGATAATTATTCAGAAAAGAAGATTGTTAGTTCTTTTAAGAGTGAATTGAGAGTTTGAAGAAAGAATAAAAATTATTCAGTATGATTTTTAAAAATAGGAAGAAACCAAGCATTCTTTGAATTCAGGTTTGGTGTAATAACAGATTCTACTGGACTATGGATGACAATTATTCAGAAAGAAAGATAGATAGTTCTCTTAACAGAAAATTGATAGTCTGAACAAGGAATATTAATTATTCAAAATTATATTTAAAACAAGGAAGAAACACAGAAGCCAAGCATTCTTTAAACTCATCTTTAGTATAATACTATCTTTAGTATTCATCTCATTCTACTAAACTATGGATGAAAATTATTCATAAAGGAAGATTGTTAGTTCTCTTAAGAGAGAATTGACAATCTGCAAAGGAATAATAATTATTCATAATAATATTTAACAGAAGGAAGAAACACAGAAGCCAAGCATTCTTTAAACTCATCTTTAGTATAATACTATCTTTAGTATTCATCTCATTCTACTAAACTATGGATGAAAATTATTCATAAAGGAAGATTGTTAGTTCTCTTAAGAGAGAATTGACAATCTGCAAAGGAATAATAATTATTCATAATAATATTTAACAGAAGGAAGAAACACAGAAGCCAAGCATTCTTTAAACTCATCTTTAGTATAATACTATCTTTAGTATTCATCTCATTCTACTAAACTATGGATGAAAATTATTCATAAAGGAAGATTGTTAGTTCTCTTAAGAGAGAATTGACAATCTGCAAAGGAATAATAATTATTCATAATAATATTTAACAGAAGGAAGAAACACAGAAGCCAAGCATTCTTTAAACTCATCTTTAGTATAATACTATCTTTAGTATTCATCTCATTCTACTAAACTATGGATGAAAATTATTCATAAAGGAAGATTGTTAGTTCTCTTAAGAGAGAATTGACAATCTGCAAAGGAATAATAATTATTCATAATAATATTTAACAGAAGGAAGAAACACAGAAGCCAAGCATTCTTTAAACTCATCTTTAGTATAATACTATCTTTAGTATTCATCTCATTCTACTAAACTATGGATGAAAATTATTCATAAAGGAAGATTGTTAGTTCTCTTAAGAGAGAATTGACAATCTGCAAAGGAATATTAATTATTCAAAATTATATTTAAAACAAGGAAGAAACACAGAAGCCAAACATTCTTTAAACTCATCTTTAGTATAATACTATCTTTAGTATTCATCTCATTCTACTGAACTATGGATGAAAATTATTCAGAAAGGAAGATTGTTAGTTCTCTTAAGAGAGAAATGACAGTCTAAAAAAGGAATAATGATTATTCATAATAATATTTAAAAGAAGGAAGAAACACAGAAACCAAGCATTCTTTAAATTCACCTTTAGTATAATAACAAATTCTCCTAGACTATGGATAAAAATTATTCAGAAAGAAAGATTGTTAGTTCTCTTAGGATGAGCTGTGCATGATCTGAAGCCTGGAGAAACTTTTAAAATATGCTCACTGATGCAGCTAATATTCAGGTGTTCAAAATTAACTTGGTTTAAGAGAGAATTGACAGTCTAAAGAAGGAATAAAAATTATTCACAATAATATTTCAAAGAAGGAAGAAACACAGAAACCAAGCATTCTTTGATTTCATCTTTAGCATAATAACAAATTCTACTGGATCACTAATAAAAACCATTCAGAATTCTATTTCTCAAAAAAAAGAAGGAAAATAAAAGAATAAAAAAATGATTTAAATGATCAAAAACGAAAAATCCTTGAGAATGGCATGACATGAGAATTCTTAAAAATTCTCTGAGGAGTTTCAACGATTTCAATGACATTTTTGTTGAAGTCCCCCCCCCCCAGTTCAGAGTGCATTTCTCTCTCGAAGAGGTTGTATCTCTCCACGATACTCACTTCTCAATTTCTGAGACGTATTTCGTGAGGAATTTGTAGCGTGTCTTGAGTATACTGGGACACCTTCCACCGAACAGCAGGCCAGCGTTCACCACCTTCTGGAGGACCAACCTTGTCAGCTCTCCTATGTACATACCCGAGATCATCTTCTCGAACAGCTGTTTCGACGGGTTGATCGAAGTTTGATCTACATCGCGATCGAACTCTGTGAGAATGAAGTCGATCGTACCACCCTCGCCAAACGCACCCCATTCGGTGTTAATTAGCATATGAGGCTTTTGTGGCTCGAAGTTTCCTGGGATTGCGCATTCCACGTTATTCGTCTTTTCCACGTAACAGGCGTTGGTACCGGTCCCTGAAAAGTGGATGTACAAAAAGTGAAATTAAAATCGGAAAAAATTTCGATAATATCAAATTTTAACTCTTCGCATTTGGTATATAAAATAGCAATTGAACGAATTATTGTTAGAAATTCGACGATACTTTTCAAAATTTCAAAATGGCGAATAAAAATTCGTACAGAGATTAAGAAGTAGAATTATTTTATTTTACTACGTTATGTTAGATTTAATTGATAATTAGATGTTAATTGCTGTCAATCTTTAGAATTTTATTAAAGGGCGAGTGGAGGGTGGCGAGTTAAGACTTTGCACACTCGGCATACTATTTATTTTGATTGGAAAATTCGGATGAGTGAAATGAAAAGGAAATCTCGCGAATAGTGGAACGGGAAATATTTATAACAGATAAAATAGTTCTGCACGTTTATTTATAATTCGGATATCGAGTTGTGATTATGATAGTTAACTATAGCGAATGAGTTGTGATATTAAGTTGTAATTGTGGTAGTTAATTGTAACGACTGAATTGTGATTATGGTAGATAACTATAGCGAATGAGTTGTGATATTAAGTTGTAATTATGGCAGTTATCTGTAGCGACTGAGTTGTGATATTAAATTGTGATTATGGTAATTAACTGTAGCAAATGAATTGTGATTGTGGTAATTAACTGTAGCGAATGAGTTGTGATTATGGTAGATAACTATAGCGAATGAGTTGTGTTATTAAATTGTGATTATGATAAGTAACTGTAGCGAATGAATTGTGATTATGGTAATTAACTGTAGCGAATGAGTTGTGATTATGGTAATTAAGTGTAGCCAATGAGTTGTGATTATGGTAATTAACTGAGGCGAATAAATTGTTATTACAGTAGTTAACTATAGCGAATGAGTTGTGATATTAAGTTGTAATTGTGGTAGTTAATTGTAACGACTGAATTGTGATTATGGTAGATAACTATAGCGAATGAGTTGTGATATTAAGTTGTAATTATGGCAGTTATCTGTAGCGACTGAGTTGTGTTATTAAATTGTGATTATGATAAGTAACTGTAGCAAATGAATTGTGATTGTGGTAATTAACTGTAGCGAATGAGTTGTGATTATGGTAATTAAGTGTAGCCAATGAGTTGTGATATCAAGTTGTGATTATGGTAATTAACTGAGGCGAATGAATTGTGATTATAGTAGTTAACTATAGCGAATGAGTTATGATATGAAGTTGTGATTATGGTAGTTAACTATTGCGAATGCGTTGTAATATTAAGTTGTGATTATGGTAATTAACTATGGCGACTGAATTGTGATATTTGAGTTGTGATTATGGTAGTTAACTATAACGAAAAGAACTTTCCAGGGTTACTATAAATTTTATTGCTATTTCGGTATATTTTTCTTCATTTAACACAGTATTTGGTTACATAACACAGTATTAACTTAATAATTAAAGTTAAATTAATTTGGAATGAAATTTAACAATTTTTCCTTTTTCTAATCGTTATTTTAAAAGGAAAAGAAAATTGATGTGAATTTTCCAAGTTTGTTGTGATGTATCTTAAAAATCAGAGATTCAAAAGGAAATTGAAATTCAGCAAAGGTTTCGGGGTTTATTCGAGTTTCAATGTTAATCTGCATATGCAAATAATCCGTATGTAAAATTCCTTTCTGTCTTAAGCAGACAGAATTATCAGATCGAGACTAATTGTAACGTTATTTATGTCACGTTTCGAGTTATTCGTTTCGTTATTCGTTATCGTTGTGATAAAAATGAGAGTCCTCTCGAAACGAGTATCCAAAATATCCATAGCCATATAAACACGCGATAAGAATTGAATAATGAATAGGTTGGACTGATTTATCGTTTACAATAATTAGGAGGATCGTATCAGCGTAAAAATTTCAGACTGGAACCGACAAACTCCAGTAATTTAAGAGATAACGTTGAAAAGTGCCGGTCATAATTTTATTTTCTTTAAACAGTGTTCGGGCTTCGCGAAAATATCTATAAAAGTATTGAGTCTTCTCGAGTTTCTCCATTCAAAAAGAATAAATAAAAGGAATTTAATTAAAATCTTTCAAGATTAGACTAATTTAAAAGAATATTGTTTCTAATATCTTTGTTACTGTATTAAAATATTTTTCAATTCTGGAAGATATTAGAAGAAAATCATATTCAATATTCTTCCCTTTCTTTCCAGAAAATAAAATAAAAAACAAAAGAAATTTAAAGAAATTTAAATTGAAAATTAATGTCAATGGAATATATGCGAAATTCTGTGGAAATATTTGTAAAAAAGATATTTTTCATTACTGGAAGATATTAGTAAAAATAGAAATCAAAACTCTCCTCTTTCCTTCCAGAAATAAAAATAAAATAAAATAAAGGAGAAACGAAAATTATTGTCAATGGAGTAAATGCAAAATTGCGTGCAAATATTTATGAAAAAAAAATATTTTTCATTACTGGAAGATAGAAAAAAATGAAAATGAAAATTCTCCTCTTTCCTTTCAGAAATAAAAATAAAATAAAATAAAGGAGAAACAAAAATGATTGTCAATGGAATAAATTCGAAATTGCGTGAAAATATTTATTAAAAAGATATTATTCAATTCTGAAAGATATCAGAAAAAAATGAAAATCAAAATTCTTCTCTTTCTTCTCAAGAAAAATAAAATAAAAGGCAGACGAAAATTGTTGTGAATGGAATAAATGCAAAATTGCGTGCAAATATTTATAAAATTCTAAAGATTGTTAAAAAGTTAGGAAAATGAAGTTCAGTACAGAATGAATGATGTTTCATTCACCTACCGACGATCAATCCGATACGGCAATTCCTGTTTTTCCAAGCACACGACATCAGAGTACCAGTGGTATCGTTTAGGATGGCGCACACGTCGATTTTCACATCCTGTACGGTAAATCATAGTTAGCACGGTATGGCAATTAGCCACGGTCAGCTGTGCGCGTTCCTGCCATTGTTTTCGACTCTCGTTTCTCATTAACGCGTTTATTATGAAACGGGCTGACCAATTTAGAACTTACTCGTGTTGGCTATTTTATTTTTCGAATCTACCCCGTCAGTCGTAACTTCGGGTCGATTTCTTTCGTCATTATATTTCGAATATGGAAAATTGACGTAAAAGTTTAATTCGGTACAGCATGGTCGCTCATAGATGGCGCCATTAGACTGTTCTGAAGCTTTCACTACAGTCTTACGAAATAAGAAAATAAGAGTTAGGCCAATTTCTTTCTCTTCTAATAACTCGAGATATAATACTTCCTAATTTAAAATTAAAAAAAAAGAAAAAGAAAATGGACCACTCTATGTGAAATAATTCTTCATGGTTATCTATTAACTACACCAAAAAATGTTTTTAATGAAATTTTGTATATCTGACTTCATTTTTTGAAGATATCAAACTAACGCTGAATTTTTGAAACGATTTTATTTTTTTATTTTTCATTTTATTATCTTGCAAAAATTATTAGCCAGGAACTTTTCTTTCGTTCTAACGTTCAAGGTTAACGAAAGGTCACTTAATGACAACAGGTTGTTACATATGTACTAGACTCTATAACAAAATAGTATATATTCGAAAAGAGTTATTTCGTGTCGAAAGAGCCACAAAAAGATTCCCAATTAATTATAAGAACTTAATGCAAACTTAGCCTAACCTAACTCTTCTTCCTCCACCCAAAGTTTCAGGAATAATTCCAAAACTGCAACCAACACGTTACCCCGAAAAGTGTCAATCCTCATGAATTGTGATGATAAAAATGAACGTAACATGTTCGAAGTAAACACTCACGTTTCTCCTTTCAATCGCCCTCTCGAGTAAAGCAACCACGTCCTCGTTCACCACGCCGCTGCAACTGAAACCCTTGGTCCACCTGACCAGGTAGCCTTTGGTCAGCCCCTCTTGAGTCAGCGGAAAGCTGAACGTGAAACCGAGTGGTAGCACGTGTTCTTGAAGATTCAGGTCCTTGACAAACAACGCCAAACACTGTGCTATGTGATCGAACAGCTCTGTACCGGTCCCTAACATCAGGCTTTGCGGTATGGCGTAGATCTTGCTCTTCATGACGAAGTTCTGGCCCTCCAGGGTGATCAACAGCACCCTGAAATTCGTCCCGCCCAGATCCAGGGCCAGAAAGTTACCCTTCTCTGCAAATCGATAACAATTGGAGTAGAAAGCTTGGTTTTGGCAAATCTCTTTCGTATCGAGGATGAAGATGCGAGGATTTTTGTATCAGATGTCGAACTTTGCAATTCAACAACAAGAATGGGAAGAGTCGATGCGATCGAAATTTGAAATGAGGATAGTCTTCTTGGCTGTGATTTATTATAGTAAGACAGCGCTCGATTTTGAGAAGATTAAGAATTTTAACCCTTTCGCGAGAAAGGATTTTGACAGCTTTAAGACGGTTTTCCATTAACACTAAACCTACCATGACCTGTCAAATGACCATAGACGAGGACAAAAAATAAGAAAAACTTTGGAAAAATGAGACACGAGCAAAGCAACATCGTTGAATGCGAAATTTTTAATTAGAAATGTAAGAACGGGCACTTGGTAAGTTTAGCGTTAACTCACTAGCGCCACCGCGGTCGATATCTCCAATACTGTACATATTATATATTTCCTTGAATTATATTCTGCTTTTATCGATATCATCTTGGAATTTTCTGCTCGTTACAGCTGTCATATTGTCTACACGATATTATTGATAGAAATTTTTGACTCGTGAAAGGGTTAAAAAGAAAAAACTGTTACACTGAACAACGAATCTTCGAAATTTGATTGGTATATGAGTTGATCGTTTCCCGAACCGATTAATTCCACAAAACAAAAAATATTATAATATAATAATAAATATAACACACATACAATACAATAAAATTAAAAAATTTCGAATTTTTGAATTTCGAAAGATGGAGTCCATGGCCTATGAATAACTCATATACCAACTAATCGCAATTCAATGGACTAAAAGTTTCTATTTTACCGGTTTAATTTATTATTAAAAGAATATTTTCTTCTCCAATTTTTTTTTCTTTTTTTTGTAATTTTATAATTTTCTGTTTAAAATAAGAGAAGACGAGTACTGATAATTATGAAAAACGAGATATATATAGTAAAGTAAAGACACTTAATTCACTGACAAAGTCGAAAGTCTATTTTTGAAAGTCACTCATACGAAATGAATATCAATGGCGGACTAAAAACAAGATTACACGACTTGTGAATCGATTAATCATTCAATGTGTCGACCAAATATCGTTGAGCTCGTTTCTTTTCCTTGGGATTAACAAAATTTTTTATTCGTGGCAACGAATTAGATATGCTATTTAAATTAAAAATGTTTCTTCGGAATTTACTCATCAGAAGCCATTTTAGATTAGCTACGGTTTAGAAATCGTTTTTCTCTAATACGTAATTAAATCGATCTGTTAGATCTCTCCGGGCAATTTAATTTTCTTTTTTCCAATTACATCGCGATCTTATGGTTTTTGCAAAAAGAACTACGCGGTAGACGCGAAGAATTTTCTTCTTATCTGCTACAAAACAAACCGTTTAAAATGACCGAGAAATAAGTGATCTCATTGTTTGCATGAAATAATTTCATCCGAGTATCTCGGGTAATATTAACTCTCGAACGATCGAATTACATTTCCTCATAAAATCTCATTTCAGTCTCCAGTATCTCGAATAAACAGCTTAAATTCAATCCTTAACAATTCGATACGATCTATCTAAAATCAAAAATCTCGGAATTAATTTTTAGAAACATTGCGTACCTAAGACTAACCTAAAAAAAATTCACATACTTTGTATCCAAAAATTTTTAAATGCGTTAAAAAAGAAATTTAAACGATATACTCTTTAACACTAATTTTGAAAAAGTTTAATTCGACGTTAAAAGATTTCTTCGAAGTTAATTTTCATCGTTCTTCGACCTGCTATTATTCTGGTTCGTTACGTTGAACGGATACCCTGTTGGTAATGTAGGAATTTCACGTGTCCTCTTACCAGTGCCATCGGGAAGATCTTGAACGTAGGTCGTGAAGCATTTCACGCTCGCCTGATTGTGCGTCTCCTTGGACAGTCCTTTGTTGATCTCCTCGTCGAGCTTCTGCATAACCATTCGAAGCTGGTCATCTGAAAGGACGAGGTCCTTGCAGATGTCTCTTATCTGCAAAACACAAGAGCGAAAACTGGTTATCGATTTCACTGTAATGGTCCTGCTGCGAGCTGTCCTTCAATAGGTCTTCGATATATACGTATACACATCGTCTAATATCAATAGCGTATATGTACATTATGTAATTATATTCTGCCAGCCACTTACAAGCTAAACCGATCGACCACATTTCGCGTAAATTTTCATTGCCAAACTTTAATACCAACACACGCTTTATTAGTGCTCAATCTCCCTGAAATGAAAAGATTAAGCGTCATGAACCCAGTTAGCCTAATGTACATGTGATTCATGTGTGAAAAATAGAGAAATAATAGTATATTGTTTCGCGTAATTGCGGAAGTGATTGATGAGTAGTTAGGAGGGGGTGCGCTGCTGCCCGAGATTACGACTTCGGGCGAGCTCGGGAAGAGTCGGGCGAAGTCGTGCACGTAGCTTCCCACCAGTCGAGACTGTTTACCTAAACGGTTTTGTGGTTATATCGACTGCTGCTGGGTAACCGGGTATAAAATCTTTCGAATAAAACAATCATCCCGACGACAGGAAACTCGTAACAGATACAATTGAAATAAAGTTCGTATTTGAAAGAACTAACTTCATTAGTGACAGGTAAATTTATATCTATGATAATGGCTCATTTAGCTATCGATACTAAATTATTCTTGTAAATATTAAATACGAATCGAACAACCTCGTGATATATTAATAACAAAATTAAATTTCAGTTTGCTGTCGTCTACCCCGCGTTCTGTCTTTGATGTCTAATTACTCAAGATGTGAGAAGTATATTAATATTAAATGAGATTTGATACATGAATCATGGTTTATGCTCGACGTCGGAATACGGTGATTTCATTTCACGAATATCAATATACTTCCAGGAATGCAGCCTATTCGTGACCGAGATGGAATAACGCACGTGGGGTTTTCTGTGTACTTCGATACGAGTTCACGTGCACCCATGTCCACACTGGTGCGAAAACTAGTGCGAAAAATGCCGGTATAGTGGCAGACAATTATGGAGAAAATAACGAGAATCGAGAAGAGAGGTCAGAAAGCGTAATTAAGATGGCAAAGGAGTATCGATTTTTTGGACATCTGTGCGAAGAAGAAAAATATTTAGATATCACAGCAATTCAATACTTTTCTTTTTAAAGAATTATAAATCTCTAAGCGCTATTTTATTCGCGTTAGATTTGTTTTCTCTTTTTAATGAATTTTTAGATATTCTAGATAATTAAAAATATTAAATTTAAAAAATTAAAAATATTAATTGACGTTTGCGTTGTTTGGTATATAAGTTCTTTTCAATTATGGGTATTAATATTCTGCGAATTTTATGCTCTCAGCTACATTCCATGACACGTTCAGCGGTATGCAAAGTTTCTGGTTCCTACTATAGAGACTTAGATATAAGTCAATAGATACATTTCAATCACACACACGGTTACATTCTTCTGTCTTCATTTTCTTTGTCGGTCAATTCGGTTCTTTAACATGTCTAACAAAGCTTCAGCTTTCCGCTTCAGAATCTCAAAAATAGGTCAGAAATTTACGATATTGTACTCAATTATAGGAAAACAATAATGGTGCCAAGCTGTTCATATTATAATCTCTCCCCTTTTTATGCTAGTCAGGTTAAAAAACGTATTAGTGTTATTAATGAAAATTTGATATTGCTTGGTTTAGTTATAAAACAATATTTTAGTACAATTAAAGGAAATTAATGTCCCATATAGCAAATTATTTTTCTATTAATCATACTGGCATTGTTATTTCTTAAAGAAAGAAAATTTATCCATTTTTAACTACTTATCAATAGTTATTTTTTATTTTCAATGAAAGCAATGCAAAATTAGTATTTAAATGGAAACTATTTTTTAATGACAAAATTTTTTACTATTAACGACTTACATACACCTTTCGAATCAAGGAGAAAGTAATTTGTCCAACACCTGCAATGAATCATCTGTTCATTAAGAATCATTAGAGTTATTCCTTCGAGAAATCATTCGATGGATCACGTATGAGATATGTAATGATATTTCCTACTTTAATAAATGGGTTGGAGTAACTACAGTTCTTCGCAATTAAAAATAATCTGGGTAATATCTTCCCAGTACGTTTATAATCCTTTCCCAGAACTTTTTTTAAGATACTATTTTATATCTCCATCTTTTAATTTACCAAAATATTTATTTCCTTGTTATATCAATAAAAATTAATTCTCATCAAATATGTCTATCTAATTCTATATATCTGACCGACACAGCGTAGTTAAGCTTTGAATTCAGTGAATATCAACAGATAACGTTATATGAGTAAGTGATCCCCTAATTAATTGACTGATGTTTGCTTTATTGCGTTATAACTGATAACGAAGAGCAACGAGCAAAAAATTATCGATGAGATAGCTATAAATTACTAGTACAAGCTCTAGTTCACTCTGTTTCAATTCCTACATATTCAATTTTTATTTTCCACTTAGAACAAACTCTTCTCCACAACTTGTTTATCGTTAAGACTGAATTTCTTGCAACAATCTGTCAACTCGGTTTATATCGTGGAGAGCTTCCTACACTTACCACCAGAGGGATGGTAAGTACAGGCACTTTCTCGCAAGTGCTCACTCGACCACTCCTTTTATATAAATACTTTTTACAACTTGTGGTATTGTATCTCGGTACTTAGGCTGCTGAATTCAGTTAGCTTCTTAATTCATGTTTTCTACCTTTTCTACTGTAATATATACATGCTATTCACCAGAATATATATGTAAACTTTCTAATTCTTTCATTTCGAAATTTCACATATGAAATATTTCAAGATAACTTTAATTATATATTATTACCAAATTTCTGTCACAAAATTCAATAAAATTTATATCTTTATAAAAATTCGAAATGTTTCAAATTTAAGAATTTCTGTGCAAATTCACAATTTATTCGATCCAAACCTCCCAGTACCGCGTTTAAAGATAGATATACCTCCATTAAATTACCATAAAATTGTACAAAATTTGTAAAGCAAAACTATGAATATTCGAAATATCTTAACCTCTGAATATCTTCTAAGAAATTGCTACTTATTCAAATGGGATTCATCCAAACCTAACCTCTTCGCCTACATCGATTCCGCGTTTCTGTTACCAAAATGATAGCAAGAAAGGCGTTCGGAATGGAAGAAGCAACGAACAATTTGGGTCGTGACACATTGACATAGAGTCGGGGATCGATAATCGCGCTGTAAACAGCTCGCACGTGAGAGATCTCGAGCGAAATCAGCCGCGTGCAAACGCACTCTTCCAAGACGAACGCCGGCGTCAGTGGCTTTCCACGTAATTCGTCTCTCATCACAGCTGCACGCTTCTCTCCGCGTGCTATCGCCTCGCGAACCAATCGAACCAGTATGGCACGAATATTAATTATTTGCCTACTAGAAGCGTACATTGCAAATCTTGGAACCGTATAAAATCTCAAAACCATATCCGACACTGTATTTTATCTTTTATCTCTTCAAATCAATCTCCTGTATACGTATAACCTGAAAATTCGCGTTAAGGAAGATCTATATATGGAATATTTTTCAAATTAATTTTTGAAACAGAAACGTATGGTTACTATCTTTTATAGGTTAGTAACTAGTTAGTTACTAGTTACTTTAGCTAGTTATTTTTAAATGAAATTTTAGAGTACGGTGAGATATTTATATTTCGTAAAGGATCTCTTGGTTTTTATTTTCCGTTTATTGAATATGGTGTGTAATTTATGTTCCAGTCCGTTTTCATGTATACTGACTATACGTCTAAAGTCCGGTAAACCAGTAAGTTTACGCGTGAGTCTGTCAAGTTCAAGTATAATGTAACACTTCTTAGATCAGTGTGAATTGGTTTCTTGCGACACGCGTGGTGCAGCAGTTAACAAGAAAAAGGAAAATTTGCGAGAAAAAACAACGATACCGATACGCTAAAGGAAATGATTTTTAAATGACTCGAACGTGGTGTTATCTGCATGGAATATATTTCTTGCGAATAGTTCTTGCAAGACTTTAAGAGGAAAAAAAAAGAAAAAAATCTTTTATAGGATACAAAAAATTGAATAGTGTCAAACAGTATTTAACGAGATAGTAAAACGTTGAAGGTTGTACAAGGTCACGAGGAAAATACATAATTGGAAGTATCGTATTTCATAAATTATGCTGTGCTGTGTCATTAAAATTTATAAAATTTGTAAGTCATAATGCGCGATTATATCTCGTAGCGTTAAGTTTACGAAGTATTCCGATTTTCGGTGACCTTGAACGCTATTATATTGCATACCGCTGAATTTGTACCGTGTAACGCGAAGAAATACATATTTGTTATTTTAACTCGAATTTGAAGGAGCTTGGAAAAAAATTAATATTTTATTATAATTTTCCACTGTTTATCGAAAACGATGAATATCAACCTGGACACACTGTATATAATGACGAGGGAATTTTAGAAATTCAGACATTTGTTCTCCTTGACTCGCACTGTATACTCTTCGGAGTTAATAGAGCACGTGGAAGAATTGGTACTATATATATTGGTACCGACATTACGTGCCGCAAGAATTATTTTCTTTCGTGTATTATAGCAAATCTATATTTCATGAGTATTATTTTTATTGGAAGTTTCGTGAGATACCCGTAACGCGATTTAATCGAGTATATCTTTCGTATAAATACACGAGAAATAATATAAAATTAATTTGTAATAGATATATACCTAATCACATAATTCTACATATTTATGACTTATAAGATTAAAAGAGCAATAACTCGTCATCTTATCACACAAGTATTATACTAATTTGATAAACGTATTTAAAAAATAATAACTCAACTTTAAAATTGATATTTTAAATATTTCAATTTCCACTATGATACGCTATGATTAGTAACTGACCTCTGACACTTCGATATTTAATCAGAGATGAAATATTGACGAATCGATTAACCACTTTTCTAGG